TCAAGATCTGCTTTAATTGAGAAAATACCAACAAACAGACTATATGGCTATGCTTCGATCAGTTATAGACCATATTTGTTGGTGTAGGCACCAAACATGAGAGAGCGAAAGAGAGAAAGGAAGAGCCGAGTGAGTGATCAGGCAAAAGGATCCTCTTCACCTCACCTCCCCTTTAGGCTCCTTTAGATCATAGGAAAAGAAAAACATGGGAATAGGAAAAATATAGGAATACTGTAGGATTGTAGAGGCAAAACAAAGGATTGGAACCTGCAGGAATTTTGATGGAATGACTATTTGATAGGCCATAAGAAAATCATAGGAACCCTAAAGGATTTTTAGCCATAATGAAGTTACTTTATTATCACTAGCTGATCAGATATGGCTAAAACATCTCTTCTAGGTACAAGAACCACCATTATCTAGTAGCAGTAGCATTGATTTTCTCGTTCTTCATGCATAGGAATTTTACCAAGAGCTCTAACTGGATGCTACAAATCCTCTGGAATCGGCATGCAAAGGAGTAAATTCCTATGGAACACTATTCATGTTTCCTACAAACCAAATGACATGATAGGAACAAATATTTTATAAACAGTATTCCTAAAAAATCCTTCACAAAACCCCTTTATAGGGGAGGTGGAGGGGTGGTTCTCATTATTTCCCCTAGTAGAGCAGGTATTTACAAAAATATCGCCACTAAGGGCCATAAAATGGATCAAAAATGTTATTTTGTAAGCCTCCAATCTACATAATTGGACCCTAGAAACACTAGTGGGGTCCCTAATATATAATACTACCCCTAATAGTAGCCCCACAGCTATTTGGTTTTGATCAAAAGTATAAGACCCAACAGCTGAATACAACTAAGTGTGGCCCAATTACAACTCAATCCCAACACATAGCTCTTGCCTATACAGAGACAGTGGATGCTTTTATCTTTAGCTAGTCTTCATCTAGTCTTCGGTGTCAACCTTTGATTGAGCCTTCATGACCTTGTTCTCGATAACTTGCTCCTTCATATGGTGTTGAGCTCTCGATACCTTCTTTTCATAATTGAGCCTTCACTAAAGGCGTTGATGTAGTCGAAGTAGGTGAAATAGTCAACATGGGAGAGGTAGTTGTAGATGATTGTGACACATGTTCAAGATTTCGCTCATGGGCTCTAGGCAAAGCTTTTACCTTCGGGCAGATTGCTTGTCCAATGTGCTCCTCGCCGCCCCCTCTTGCCTGGTGCTTGTGAGAAATTCTTTCACGTTCTTGAAGTGAGCATCTTAGGTGTAATTGACGTCATAGATGACAGATGGAGATCCCCGCACCCAGCTGATGGCGACAAAGGCGAATATGCCAATGGCAATCCCTCCACTCCAAAATGTTGACAAAGGTGAAGTTGAATATGTTGAAGTTGGAGTCAAAGCCCCTCACTGAGATGTTGGCTTTGGTGCCACCCCGCGTACTTTTCGAGGCGATGAGGCAAGGAGTTGCGAAAATGAGCCCCTCGGTGCTTTTCAATTTCTTTGGCGCCACCCCCATACCTTTCGAGGCGATGGGATGAGGAGTTGCGAAAACGAGACCCTCGGCACTTTTAAATTGCTTTGGCGCCGACTTGTGGTGGATGTCGCCAATGGCAATGCCCCTCACCAGGACGTTGGGGAAAGCTTAGTTGATGACACGCGGTGTTGATTTGCGAAACAAAGTTTGCAAAACATTGATTCACATTTTGCTGTTGTTGCATGTATTCTTGGCAACACAAAGTCACTGAGCTCTTTTTTATATGTGTGTACACAGAGGTCGAAATGGATGCAGACGGTGCTCTGCATCTGCTGATTGATTTTGATCTCACCAAACGAGTTTTCGTTGATACTGTGGTCCTTATGTTGTCAAGAACCTCCTTTCAGCTTTTAGTGGAGTGGATGTCATGAATGAATTGATATAATTATGTGAAAAAATGTGAGGTGATATATGATAAGAGAATCTTGCAAAAATATAACTCTTACATAAGATGAATTGTTGGGTTTCATGTTATTTGTGAATAAAAAGCTATCATTTGAACTCTGGAGCATATAAACTGCATAATGCTTAAGATAATAATTTTAATAGTGCGAAAACACAAATAAAGACGCTTTGAGTTTGTGAGATGTAAGTCCTCACCATGCTTATGATAACATTTGCAAATGGAAGGTGTATCGAAGATTGTCTGAATGTGAAATGTGAAGAATGTGAAAGTAAAAGTGATGGCCGATACTCGTGCTTATACTTGTTGTAAAGGAATGATGATTTGCGAAGATTGATAGTCGACGAAGTTCAATAATTGATGAGAAGACGATAGGTTCCAAATATCAATGTGTATAGGACCAAATACGTGGTGGATGCCAACAATCAAAGAAATCCATCAGTTTGGTTAAAATCAAAATTGTGTAGAGCGGATTGTGTAGAGCGGAAGCCTTGAATCACAAACAATAATAGAAGTGGAAAAGCCCTTTCCAAATATGCCCATGACTATTAAATTTAGCATAATAACAATATATTTCAAGGCAAAATCAATTATGAGAATTACATTTAAAGTGATATCCATGGACCTAAATTAGTATAAGGTGATAACTTACACTTTTAGTTATTTTTGTAGGACATGAAAGGGCCTGTAGCCTCGTGATTACAGCCTCATTAGCACCTTAGGTCCTGGGATTAACTTCCCGTTGGAGCGAATTTTTGGCATTGTGTTTTCAGTGGTAGGCGATGTTCCCGTCGACAGCGAGGCACCTGTGATGACTTCGTTAATCTCGAGGAATTTGCCGGCCCAATCTTCAAAGATACTCTTAGGGTAGGGTTTGAAAAAAAAAGTTGGCAAAAATTTTATCGAATTATATTAGGAGAAACAGAAATTATACAGAAGTTACAGACCCCAAATGAAAAAAAAACGGACCAATGGCAGACGGCTGCCATGGGACCAATGGCAGACCGCTGCCATAGAAAAAAACTCGCTCCGACTACAGAGGACCCGAAACAAAAGAAAAACACTTTAAAACTAAAACGAAAGACTCAAAAGAACTTTGAAGGAAAAGTATATATCCATCATGGTCTGTCATACGCTATTCAATGTTGTTGTATGTCCTTTTTGATGAGGTAGGCGATCTCCTTCGATCGTTACTCTTCCTGTTGAAATATTCTCCATTTTTTTCTTTCCATATATTCCACCAAAAATAACCTTTTGTCTTTCTCAATTTTACTCATCCATCTTCTCCAACATTTGTAGACTGAATCTTGTAAGTTTGCATTGACCTGTAGGGATAAGTTCCACCACCCACCGATGACTGTACAAACTCTTTTTATGTAGAAGCAATCTTTATACATAGGCATTAGGATTTCCGTGTTCACTGTTGCATAGCTTACAAATTGGATTATTTTGTCAATCTTTCTTTTCGAGATTGTCCGCCCGTAAGAATTTTGCCATGCGTCAAGGTCCAGGCAAAAGAACCAGCATTTTGGTTCTGCTTTGGCCTTTGACAGAATTATTCCTCCTCTCACTATACAGAGACAGTGAGGCACCCACATGATAAGGTCTTGTTTAGATTGCCTCAAAGTTTGAAGTTTTTTCACTCTCTCTCCATCACATCAATTTTTAGACGTATGCATGGAGCATTAAATGTAGATAAAAAAAATAACTAATTGCACAGTTTGGTTGTAAATCACGAGACGAATCTTTTGAGTCTAGTTAATCCATAATCAGACAAAGTTTATCAAATACAAACGAAACATACTACAATGTCCAGATTATAAAAATTTACAATCTAAACAAAGCCTAACATAACAAGAGGAAAACAAGTGGTACTGGCATAGATTACTGGGCTTATTTACGGCTTATTGGGCAGCTGATTTATACCGCCGTTGCAGCTGCTCTGTCTCGCACATGTCTGGGCCCTTTACAGAATTACATAAGTGCGCTGGTGTGTGGTGTCCAGCCGAAACAGGTTAATTTCAGCCCATAGAAAAGGTGAAACTAGTAGCCCACCATTATCCTTCACGTATACGACAAGGAGCAATATAGCATATGCAGTTAATTCTCTTTCAGAGCAACAATTAGTAGCTTCAACAAAATTATTCAATCAATTCTCTTTCAGAACAACAGTCCTCGCATGCTCTTTACAACGTCAGAAATTGCAACTACAATATATAAGAGTATATTTGGAACTCAAGATTCTAAAGCAGAAACAAAAGGAAATGTGGGGATATAATACTTGAACTTCTTGGATCCTATGAATTTAAAGAAAACGCAAGATTAGAACATTTGGATGAAGCGTGGAAAAATACAATAATTTAATGAGTGACACAAAAGAAAATTTCAGGTTCAACCTCGCAGTGGACTTCCTCCAAAATTTCTATTAAATAAGCTATTAAGCCCCCTCTAGAACAAAGGAAAAACGAAGGAATTCTACAGAATTAAAATCATATAATAAAATTACCTATGGTCCCCTTTGAAACAAAGGATTAGGTTCCTACAAACGCTATGAAATTCTTATGAAATAGCCTATGGATAGAGAAATTCCCTTTGTCTATCCATAGGATTCACGATGTTAGGACATTTTATTGCTGCATCCTGTGTTTTTCCAAAGGGCTTCGTAAGGAATTTTCTTATAGGATTCCAATCCTCTAGAATTCTTCTATTTTTTCCTTTGTTCCAAAGGGGCTAATACAGTAGACATCAACACTCTTTCTTGATACTCCTAGATCAGTTCCTCACTACCCAATCGTTGAATGAATACAGCTTCCGTCCTGATATACTAAATACAGAAAGAATAAGAAAACGAGGGGCAAATACAAATGGAGATGAACCAAGCAGGGAAGGAAAGATTGCAACCCGTTATCGTTTCATATAACTACGATGCAAACAAAAAAAGAATGAAAATGGAGACTAGGACAGAAATTTCATCTTCTTTTCCCGAGCGAGCTTTTTCCCGATGTCGGGCTGAACAATGCTTCCATAGGCTGCAACCTTTTCTTGCATCTTATGCATCAGCCGGTGGGGAAGAGAAGATGAGGCTCATCAGGAGCCCCACCAGAACACCTATTAGCCCAGCAAACGCAGCAAACGTCAAGGAGAAACCTGCATCGCCTTTGCGGCTCCTACGCCTCCGAAGCACATCCTGAAACAGTAGTGTTTGTTATGATATCTACAAAATTCAACAAAAGAAAGAAAAAGAGTGTGTTTTTCCAAAAAGCTAACCTAAAATGCAAAGGGATATATTCAACAATGCTTGTAGACGATGAAACTTTTCGCACACATCATCAAGTTTACTGAACAAACTACAGCCGGGCTAACTACTTTGGTTTCCTTTAGCTATGGCCACAAAAACTTCTTCGTTAACTACTTTACTCATGTTACAGTTCTTTTTTTGACAAAAACAGGAGCGGTTGCCCCCCTACTGAACTTTTATTATTAAACATTATATAATATCCAATTGTTCATAAAAAAAGACGAGCCAAAGTCCAAATGTCAATATGATCAAGTAAAATATGGGAACAAAATGAAGCGTAAAGAAGTTTGATATACCGTACCAATTCACGTTGCATTTGCTGATTTTGCTGAAGCATGTTATCTCTTTCTTCCTTCAGCCGCTGAATTGTCTGGATCTGAATAAAACAAAAGGGGACAACTTACTGAGAAAAAATGACCAAGTTGTCCCAAAGGATGTCTACTCATTCATACAATCTTGATCGGTAATGCACGAACTTCCTGTTGCAATGAGAATACTTCATGAAACAATATCTTTGGATAACCCAAGATTTTCTCTGAATTTTCAGTTAGAAACTTGGAACATGTCGATCAGGTTAAAGGGAGCTACTATGGTTGAAATGGACTATATGAAGGAGAAGAAAAAGATATCCAAATTCTGTCCCCAGTGGTTAACAAGTGCATGAGGCAACATGCTCATGGGCTTCTGGGCATTCCTCCCTCCCTCAATTATGACATCCCAATTATAGGTACCTTTACCCATAATCAACTTTATGATCTTTCAACTGTCAAATCATGTTATGTCAACATCTTCCTTATTTCTTAGACTTGCACTTCCCAAATTTCATATATTAATGCCACCATGGCATTATCCCAATATCACTTTAAGAATCTAAGATGAAAGGAGTAACAGTTCTCTCACTGCACAATCAACGGGACACTACAGAATCATGATAAAAGGCTTAAAGCATATCATATTCAAGTTAGCAGAACTATTCGTTCTACAAATTCATCAGAGGAAAATCTTAAACATCACTTTTTCGATCAAGTACCAAAGTAAAAGTGAAGAATTGTTGGGATAAAGCGAATTACCTCTTCGATGCTTGCATTCTTCAGCATCTGAAAAGTACGGCCAAACAAATGATCAACATTAAGAGTTTGAACTGAAAAATTATAAGTGAATCTCAAGCTACATACATATCACAACAGAACTGCCACAATCTCACCGTCAGATCGTCAGATGCCGCTTTGAAGCTCCGGCTTCCTAAAGATGACACACTAGAGTCATCTGAACCTCCACTAGGTACTGTGTAAACAACCTTGAGCTTCATTTCCTCGATTACCTTATCCGTTTCCTTGTTGAACTGCGCATATGTAACCATATAGCATATGGCTGTGGATATCATTTCACTATAGTGATAATGTGACGCTAAACCTTTACAAATCTGTTCTGCATTTCTTGCTCACCGTATCAGGGGGGATCTCATCCATGTCGGTACTGGCAGCCACCTTCGTGCTCTGAATCAAGAACTTATCCTTGCATTGCATATCTGGTGGGTACTCTTTCTGTGCCTGCAGCGTAACTGTACCCCCAAATAGGAAGGCACGGAGACACAAACACTTACACATCGAAATCCAAACGGAGGATCCTAAATATAGCCATGGACATGCAGGTGTTTACTCGTTATTGTGCAAGAATCCCATGGCTGGACGATGCTCGCGTTCGGCCGGACAAAATACTTCCTCGGTGACGTTGTTTTGACCTGCGAAAATAAATTGGGCAAATTTGACCAGACCTAGTTTAATTTTCTTCTCCTCAAACACCAAACCTGGTTCGATTTTCAGCAAGCAAAACGCGGGAATTCTGAGGCGAACATCACGGAATAGGGAAGCTATGGACCTTGAATGCGACATGGTGCTCGCTGTTGTTCACCACCTTGAGATTGCAATAGCACGGCTTGTCCAGCTCAACTGCCCACAATAATTCAACGCGGAGAAGTTCCACGGAAGTTTAACCAATCGCAATGCGAACGAAAATATCAAGAAATCCGCACAACTTACACAAGAAGGTGAGCTCCTCGGGGTAAACCGAGATCAGCGTTCCGCTACCTCCCATTGCAACCACCTAATCAAAGAAACAGAAAAGGAAGCCAGAAGATGAATATACTGCCGCATTAAAAAGAGGGAAGAGATTACTTTCTGTTTGTTTGTTTAGAGCGGATTCCGAACCTTTCTTTCCAAGAACTGAGTGCAAGCAAAATAGATAATAAACTAACAAAAGGCACCGATTTGGAGGAGAAGTCGGGAGGGGAGGAAGCAAGGGGCGGAGGAGGAAAGAGAGAAGCCAATGGGTTTGCAGTTTGCTTTGCTTTTCTTGGCTCCCAGCGACATTGACGGGGCAGCACTCACTTTCTGGGTTTTTCTTTTTTTAGTGAACAGCATTGCTCTCTCTTTTTTCTTTTTTTATTGGTGGTTGGTGATTTATGCTACTTTATTCAGCGTGCTGTTTCCAGGACTGGAAAGGCATGGCTTTTGAAGTTCTTGTTAACCAGTTTCAGTCTAATAGTATATTATTTTACATGACATAAACACATTTTACAATACTCTGATGAAAACAATTTAGGGACAAGTATTTTGGGGCTATTAGCACAAACAGTAAATCATCACCAAAACTTCTAAAATCTAAGAAAAATGTGAGACTGCTACTGTCACGGTACTTATAGATCTCAAGTATATGCATTTATCCGCATAAATCCCCATACAGTACAAAACGGGAAGTATACACAAAAATAGATCTCAAGAATATTCTTGTCTGATTGAAGTATTAAACAAACATTAGCAGTTTCGCTCTGCATCCTCATCTACAAACCATTGGGGCATACGTGACCTGTACTCTACTTGTGGTAGGAACTCATACAATTTTTTTATGGATACCAGAGATTATCAATCATTTGTGTCATTGTCAGACAGGGGTGACGAAGAATATTATGAGGTCCCAGATTCCCAGTTGTTGCTTTAAGGAAAAACGAGCTAAACTTAAACTGAAATTTTGGTGCTGTGAAGTATACTACTAGTAGTAAACCAGACTTGAAGATAGATTGGATAAAAGGATTGGTCCTTTTTTTATGAAAGCAAAGGATTGGTCATTGAGCGCGAAAACAGGCAAAGCAATTTCCATGGCGACAAAGTTATGAGTGAATAAAACTCCTGATATAGGTATAGTCTTTTACAAACTAGAGGGATAGTGAAAGTGATTGAAGGTTCAACAAACCTGTCCTGTCCAGCAAAGGACTTTAGGTCTTTAACCACCAATTTATTACGACTAGTCATGTCAACTGCTAATCCAAAAAAATACAGGCCGTATGTTCCACGGCAGCCAGGTATTCTTGTATTTGGCTTATAAGACATGGCTTATCAGTCAACGAATAATATTTTTTTCTCACGTCAAACCAGCTAACAGTATTTTCAGTCATGACTAATAAATCAAACCAGCCTAAACAAACAGGACGATTCTTTTTTAGATAACAACATACGTACATATTAAATAAGTTGCACACGTACTTGAGACCCCATGATCCTCATAAAAGGGTGCAATTAAATTCATAATAATAAGGCCCTAGTACGAATTTTGTACACTGACCACAAAAAAGCATTGCATTGCAAGCCAAGTATGCTATAAAGCTGTAGTAGATATTACACATCTGATATCCGGGGATTACAGTGAAATGCGCTGATTTGGACAGGGAAGTGAAAAAAGGTTTGCTAAGAGAAATCGAAATGGTGGTGTAAGAAGCTGTTCTGTCAGCATATCTGATCTCACTTGAAGGTTGAAAAGCGGGGAAGCTTATCTTTCAGGTAGTACAACTTTGCTCTCCTCACTTTCCTGTGCCTTATTACCGTGATCTCCTTGATCCTGGGTGAGTACCTGCAATGAAATATGTAGGCGCAGTTACCAAATTTGCTGCAAGTATTCTGAGTTTGAAGTTTCAAGCATTTAGCATGGCCCTGTTCGCTTCTCTTATAATCCGTACTTTTCAGCTTGTTTTTTCAGCCGGAACAGTGTTTTTCTCTCACAACAAATCAGCCGGAATAGTGCTTAATCTCAATACCTTTTCTTTTGCCCAAAAAAAAAAACAAAACAAAAAATTTCAAGTTCACATAGGTATAACAAAACAAAGCGTCATGGTAAAATGGGAGCAGGATAATTGTTCAGCATGAGAAGAGGTCACTGCAAAGCGAAAATATTTGAATGCTTCTGATCCTTTGTGATAGCTCTTCAGCTTTGCTGCAAGTATAAAGTATTCTGAGTTTAAAGTTTCAAGAATTTAGCATGCGGTCAGCCACCATAACTGCAGGTAACAGAGGTAACCACATAACTAGGAGCAGCCCTATACTCTTCTCCATCTGCTGAGAACATGGTCAACAGTACATAACAGATGGCTAAGCTGTGTTTGGTTGAGCTTCTGAAAAATGCCATGCTTCCGAAAAGCAGAAAGCTTACCAAACAGGTGAAACCTGAAGCTGCTTGCTTTTGGCTTTCTGCTTTCTGCATTTTGAAATTGGTGGAAATAGAGAGAGTGGGTAGGTTTTATACTTGTTTTAGCCAAACAGCTTACAGTTTTTTCACAGCACATAGATCACAATAGTTTTTTCACATCTCACAGCTCACAAGCAGCTTTTCCACGGATCACAGCTAAACCAAATAGACCCTAAGTCCATTTGCACACACAAAAGGGGTAAATTGATGGCGAAGTTGACAAAAAGTTATGTAATAATAAACAATACAATTATAGTGCTTAATCTCAATACCTTTTCTTTTGCAGAAAAATCTCAAGTTCACATAGGTTTACCAAAACAAAGTGTCATGGTAGAATGGGAGAGCATGACAAGAGATCACTGCAAATATTTGCATGCTTCCGATCCTATGTGATAGCTCTTTAGTTTTTTTTTTCTTGCATTAAAAAAAAAGATAGCTCTTCAGTTTTGCTGAGATGGTTATAGTTCCAGAAGATATGGAATGTGTAATGAACTTATAAAGAAAGGGAAAGCAAGAGGATCAAAGAATAGTCAAGGTACGGCATTTATCTGGTTTTGCAAATCTTCTGGTATGATACTGAGAGATAATGTATATTGAGCTAGAATTCATGAATCATGACAACCTATCAACATTTCAAAAGAAATTTCCAGGTTCCGCTATGCACTTGTAAGTACTGCAAACTGAACCAATTATATAGCCCACTTAAACAAAGGTATACCAAGTATCGTGTTCATTATTTCGTTCTTTATTCACTTATCAGAACCAATGAACCCAATTCAAAGTGTACCTATTATGAGAGCACAAAAGTCACAAGGTATATAAGAATCACATAGATGCACTCCAAATTTTTAATATACCAGTACTCCAGTAGACTCGTTTCTATTTTAACATACAGAATGACATAAATCCAGTCAATTTTTTCCGTGGATACATAAAAACTTTTGAGTACTATCATTTTAGCAACAGTGTTACCGTGCAAAATATTAAGCAAATATCAGCACAGAGTGAATATCAGCACAGCACAGATAAAGAACATAGAAACAACTTACACTGGGAAAGTAATCTCAACTCCTACACCAGCAATGATCCTTCTGACACGGATTGTTGTGTGAACACCGGCTTTGTGTTTTGCGATGATTATGCCCTTAAAGAGCGACAATCTCCTCTTGTTGGGCCGTTGCTGCAAGATTTGCTTCAGGTATCAATTATTGTCCAATTAGGAATAGACCAAGCACCACACTAAAGATGGGAAATTTTTACCATCCTAAGCTCAATGATATCGCCGGGCCTCAGATCCGGTACAGTCTTCACCTTCTCAGCCTCCTCAATGAACTGCTTATTCAGAATCTACAACGCGAAAATAATTCAAGGAATAAGGACATAGCATGTCAAGCTTCACAAATTCATAATGGATTGTACCAACACAATGAATGAACAACCAGGGATTTTGCAAAAATAGTCAAAACACCAAATTTATATCTCGCCATGTGCCTGTGTTAATGAAACCGTGCAAGTGTCCAAGAAAACAGAGAATTAAATAAAGCTCATCAAAGATATTAGACGCGTTGCTGACTTCTCTGCATTACCACTTTACCAGGCTCTCCAGGACAGGACTACATGTATTAAGAAGTTTGCATAAATAGTGAGAAAATAAGCTCTTCACTTCGTCCATTACTAATTCCAATGGGCGGCTGCTTAGAGGTTATGCTGCCAAGAACTAAACAAGCTACTAGTAAGCATTCGCCACAGAGAACTAGTAAATTCTAAAATCATGCAAAGATATGCTACTCGATAAGACGATAGCCTGCTGCCTCGCAGCCTATATTTTCAGTTTTTCACAGTTCCAGTTCTCCAATCCCGGGTACTAATCAACTTCATGAAATGTCCGCGCAAGAAATCCTCACCCCAATTATTTCGCCGAACTTAACCTTCGGCTTGCTCGGCGGCGGCGGTTCCTCTTCCTCCGCCTCCGCCACAGCGACAGCCCCCTCGGCCGCCCCCTCTTCGGATTCAGCTGAGGCAGTGACAGGTTCCGCCTCAGACTCAGGCTCCGGTTCTCCGGCTTCGGCACTGGCGTCAGCGCGGGCGATTATGTGGGTGGTCCGGCGAGGGGAAGCGCACAGGGAGAGCTGGCGGAATGAGGAGGCCACGGCTAGGACCTGCGGCGGCGGCGACCGGTGGGATAGGAAGGCGTGGGGAAGCACGACGCCGGAGACGGCGGTGGCGGAGGCGGCGGCCATGGTAAGGTTGAGTCGGGCCAACGTGTCAGCGGCGGAGCATGGGACGGAGGACGGAGGGAGGGGAAGGCGCGTCGCCGCGGCGGGAGGATTGGGGAGAGACGCTATCCGCCTATCTCTTTGTGGGATGGGCGCTGTGACGCTGCACGCGGGCCCCAAACTTCTATCCAGGAGTGAGGTCGGAGCCGTTGGTCCAGGTGAGTCCCATTTGATTAAGGGTTAATATGGATTTTTCATGGAAAAACAGTGCATTATAGAACTTGTAAATTTCATCTTATTTCTAGTTAGAACATTTGGGACGCTATGTGTCGGTGTTTCGGAACTGGGGGTCCTTAATCGACTAGTGAATTTGTGCTGCGTGCTCCCAATTTCGGATGGTGATGCAAAGAGATACAATGTTTATACTGGTTCGGGCAATGGATGCCCTACGTCCAGTCTGAGAAGGTGTTCTTGTATTTCTTGCACCGGGGTGCTCGTAGTAGGGGGTTACAAGCTAGGCGAGAGAGGGAGTTTGTCCCAAGTCTCTGTGAGGGGAGATGATATGAATTACAGAATGCGGCGTGTTGTTTGTGCGAGTGTTCGTGACTCTATCCGTCGTCCCTAGAAACGGTCCTGGCCGTCTCCTTTTATAGCCGCAGGGAGGAAACCAGGAGTACATAAGAGAGCTACATGTGGAGCGGACTATTCGATGATGTATTTACTCCTGGAGCAGCATGGCGTTGTCGTGGGAGTTCCCGTAGATGTCTAATCGGTATGGTCTCCATTGCAAGTAACATGTCGCGCATTTGTTGACTTGGTGGATTGCGCGAGAGGCTCGGTGCCATCGTGGCCGGTCGTGCCGAGGCTCATTGTGCCGAGGCCTCACCGTCTTTGAGGCTGAGAAGTGACCAGTGCGATCGGGTCTCGGGCCGCCATCAGGCGAGAATAGTGCGAGACGTGCGCCTATAGGATACTGACACTGTATTGTCGAGAAGGGATGGTAAAAAGGTGATTTGACCGTTGTCCCGTCGCTCCTGTTGCGGCCAAGACCGCCGATCGTGGCTTACGTAGCGGGTGCGGTGGCGCATTAATTGGATGACGATACCGCCAGAGAGACCTTTGAGGCGGAGGCGGCGAGGTTATGGGACGAGCCCGCCTTAGGCGGCGAGCGCGCCAATTCGTCGAGGCCCTCACCGGGGGTCTCGCGAGGCGGACGGGCGAGGCGGAGTAAGATCGGTGAATCGAGGCCTGTCGAGGGGGCTCGGGCGAGCCGGAGCGGTCGGTCGGCCGATTCCGAGGCTACTGAGGAATCGTTCGACTCCCCACGCGTTGCGATGTCCTTGGCGCAGAGTTTAAGCGAAAGATGATGGTCGGTACCCCCCCGCCTGGCCGTCGCAGATGGCGGGAGGTTTGATGCGATTGGCGTGTAGTCGGTCACTACCATTTATCTTGTGCCATCGTGCGGCCTATCGGAGTGGTTGGGCGCTTGGATGCGACGTTGATCGAAAGCGGTTTGGTCAAGAGGCGGTCACGGGCTGGTGCCGAGCCGGCCTCGTGAATCGGAGAATCGACACTTCTTCGAGGCCCCGGCGAGGGGGCCTCGACGAGGAACCTCGGCGAGGCGGTCTCAAGTAGTCGGAGAATCGTTCGCTCATTGGGGCTCGGCGACGGGTCTTGGGCGAATCGGAGATTTCGGCCGAGACCTCGCTTTGTTTATTCCGTTGGTTCTGTTCTTAGGGTCTAAGTAGTTTTCGATCTTTGCTTGGGGTACCCCATTTTACGGTATCAAGACAAGAGGCCCCGAGCCCTCGGCGGGAGTGTGGGATACTCTCCCGAGGTTTTTTCGAGACTTTTATTTCTCGGTGGCTCTTGTCGGATTTGTTTTTTATACTCATGATTCTGGTGGGTGCTTGTGGCCACTGGCCACGTGTGTAGCCCCGAGGCCTTAGAGGAGTGAGTTTACTCCTTTAGGGGCTTTTTCTTCATTGAGTAAGGCGCTCTATCGCATTCGCTAGACCCATGAGAGCGAGCTCGGGTCGCTTGTTTTTGTTTGGGGTGCAGGAGGAGCCCCTAAGCCTACCGAGCCCTCGCGTGCGATCCTAGGTCGCTAGGTCTCGGCAAGGTTTGCAGGAAGAGCCCCCGAGCCTCCGCACGGAGCGAGAGGGCGGTCAGGAGTTCTCCTGGCTTCTTGTACGACCCTCGCGCATCCTTTTCGTTCGGAAGGAGGGGTTGTTTGCCGAGCCCTTCGTGTGCGAGCCTAGGCCGCTGGGTCTCGGCAAGTTTGCAAGAAGAGCCCCCGAGCCTCCGCACGTAGCGAGAGAGCGATCAGGAGTTCCCCTGGCTTTTTGTACGACCCTTGCACATCCTTTTCATTTGGAAGGAGGAGTTGTTTGCCAAGCCCTTCGTGTGCGAGCCTAGGCCGCTGGGTCTCGGCAAGGTTGCAGGAAGAGCCCCCGAGCCCGCAGATATAGCGAGAGGCGATCAGGAGTTCCCTCGGCTTTTTATCGACCCTCGCGCATCCTTTTCGTTTGGAAGGAGGGGTTGTTTGTCGAGCCCTTCGTGTGCGAGCCTAGGCCGCTAGGTCTCGGCAAGGTTGTAGGAAGAGCCCCCGAGCCTCCGCGCGGAGCGAGAGGGCGATCAGGAGTTCCCCTAGCTTTTTGTACGACCCTCGCACATCCTTTTCGTTTGGAAGAAGGGGTTGTTTGCCGAGCCCTTCGTGTGTGAGCCTAGGCGGCTGGTCTCGGCAAGGTTGCAGAAGAGCCCTGAGCCTCCAGCAGCGGAACGAGAGGGCGATCGAGGAGTTCCCGGCTTTTGTAACGACCCTCACGCATCCTTTTCGCTCGGAAGGAGAGGGTGGAACATGTCGAGCTACCCTTGGTGGGGCGAGCGGTGACATTTCCGGTGAGCTTTTATCGGGTAAGTCCGAGTGGAGGCCCGTGCCCCATTCGATAGGGGTCGGCTAGTGGTCCGAGAGACGCGCTCCAAAAAAGTACAGAAGGCTTCTCTAGCGGGTGCTGGGGCCGTTCGATTGGCCCTAGGGGCTCAAGTGCCTCTCACGGTGGGATCCCCTTAGAGAACTCCTGCTTGGTCTCGGACACGACTTAGGGCATGCCAAGCAATCGCTTGCACGGGCCTCGATCGGCGTGTCTTGGGCTCGCCCATAGTTGTCCCTGACTCTGTTGTCCCTGAAGGCTGCCGAGGCCCTGGATAGCCCGACCTTCGTACCCTAGATCATAATGGGCTTGGTGCCCTTTTTCATCATGTTTTTCCGACCCTCGGGGTGTGAGAGGTTGCAGGAAGAGCCCCCAAGCCTCCGCACGTAGCGAGAGGGTGATCAGAAGTTCCCCTGGCTTTTTGTATGACCCTCGCACATCCTTTTCGCTCGGAAGGAGGGGTTGTTTGCCGAGCCCTTCAAGGCGTGCGAGAGCTAGGTCGTCGCTGGTCTTGGCAAGGTTGCGGGGAAGAGCCCCGAGCCTCCGCATGACGTAGCAAGAGGGCGATCAGGAGTTCCCCTGGCTTTTTGTACGACCCTCGTGCATCCTTTTCGTTCGGAAGGAGGGGTTGTTTGCCGAGCCCTTCGCGTGTGAGCCTAGTTCGCTGGGTCTCGGCAAGGTTGCAGGAAGAGCCCCTGAGCCTCCGCACGTAGCGAGAGGGCGATCAGGAGTTTCCCTGGCTTTTTGTACGACCCTCGCGCATCCTTTTCGCTCGGAAGGAGGGGTTGTTTGCCGAGCCCTTCGTGTGCGAGCCTAGTTCGCTGGGTCTCGGCAAGGTTGCAGGAAGAGCCCCCGAGCCTCTGCACGTAGCGAGAGGGCGATCAGGAGTTCCTCTAGCTTTTTGTACGACCCTCGCGCATCCTTTTCGCTCGGAAGGAGGGGTTGTTTGCCGAGCCCTTCGCGTGCGAGCCTAGGTCGCTGGGTCTCGGCAAGGTTGCAGGAAGAGCCCCCGAGCCTCCGCGCGGAGCGAGAGGGCGATCAGGACTTCCCTGGCTTTTTGTACGACCCTCGCGCATCCTTTTTGCTCGGAAGGAGGGGTGGAACATGCCAGGCTACCCTCGGTGGGCGCGAGCGGTGACATTTCTGGTGAGCTTTTATCGAGTAAGTCCGAGTGGAGGCCCGTGCCCCATTCGATAGGGGTCGGCTAGTGGTCCAGAGACACGCTTCAAAAAAGTACCAGAAGGCTCCTCTAGCGGGTGCCAGGGCTGTTCGATTGGCCCTAGGGGCTCGGTGCCTCCCTACGGTGGGATCCTCTTTAGAGAACTCCTGCTGGTCTCGGACACGACTTAGGGCATCCCAAGCAATCGCTTGCCTGGGCCTCGGCCATGTACGGGCTCGCCCATAGTTGTCCCCGACTGCTCGTCGTCCGAGGCTATTTGTCGAGACCATAAACGGCCCAGCCTTCGAACCTCTGGACCGTAGCGGGCTCGGCACCCGGTTCCTTAGCTCGGAAGGAATCGACTGGGGGGTATTTCCCTTCCATCGGCTGACAACGGCGCGTCTTTTGAGGCGGTCTTCTTGGGAGCTGCCGTTGCTACGTGATGTCGTGTCAGTGGATGGGACATAACCGTATGTGCGATTAAATGTGGAGAAGGTGGGCACGTGGGCGGAGATATCGGATCTAGATTATATGCGCCGGATCTGAGGGAAACTTCCCGATTTTCGCCGCCCAATGTTTTCGTCTTACCCCGCATAAATCGTACAGAAGAGCCTCGCCCTCCCTCGTTACCTTGCTCGCATTTGCTTTTCGCCGCCTCCAAGCCGTTCTTTGAGAGCATAAAGCGCCGGGAGAAGAAGGGCGAGAGAGATCGATTGAAAGAGAGGGAGAGAGATTTACCACCGTAGCAGCGTCCTCCACCACGCAATGGCTGGCGGTCCTGTCATCCTCCCGGTGGATCCACGGGAGCGATGCGGCGTCCTTTGTGGAGAAGCTGCGATCGTTGGTGGACGCCGGTCTCCTCCGCCCGATCACCGATCTGACGAGCCGGAGTGGATTGCTCCGGGGAATGAGTCAGAACCGAGGCCACGTGA